CTTTTAATGATTAGTCCTCAACACCTTTCGGCAAGTAGGGATCCCTTGGTTTCCTGCTTTGGTTTTTGCCTATATTTTCTCATCCACATAACTGGATTCTGCCTTCCTGCCCATACGAATGTCAAGTATGGGATTTTAAAAAATTTCTTGAAAGGCAGCTGCCCCTTCTCCCATTACTCACCACACATTCATGGGAAACCTGGTGCTAAATCATTTGTAGACAACCTGCTTTTGTGTCAGAGTTTCATATGTAGCAGAGCTCCCTCGCTGCGATCTATTGAAAGTCAGCCCTGGACACAAGGGTTTGTAAAAAAAAAAAAAAAAAAGATTTAAAAGAAGACAATATTTTTTTTAACTTATATTAAAAAATAAAAACAAAACATTTCTTTCAGGAGGAAATGGTGACCTTCTGCCAACCTAGACCAGCAGTTATTATGGTATTCCTCACACCTAGAATCAATCAGGCTTAGAAAAAGATACTGAAATTGCTGCAAGTTTAGACTATAGTAGATGCATAGAAATAATGGCAATAAATGGGGAGGGACACATTGACAGGAATGCTAGTGAATGAGAGTTTCAAACAGAGCAAAAAGAAGAAGAAATCAACCCTAATCTCAGAGGTCCATGAGAGCAGTTGTCAGGAGTATTTTATTACTGTTGAACCTCCTAGACTGACTATAGTCCCTGGCATCAAGTAGGAACCCATTAAATTTGTACAACAAATGAGTAAGGATGTGATGGCCACATCTATACCCTCTACTACTGAGCCTATTCTCTAAGAAAGTACAGAGGGTATTACTTCTTTAAAAGCAGTGGATGTTTTAATTCAACTTTATATAAATTATTCCAGATAACTTATCTCTAATTTTGAGATCTCTAACCTAGTCTCTAAGGGTTTAATATTCTTTAATAAACAGGAAAGTTAGTCTTAGGTGCAGTTGTTAAGTGGAAGATGTTATTTCTTGGCTTCATATTTTCCAGTGATTTCCCCATTCAATACCCACTCCAGATTCTCTAAACTCGGAAACTTACCTCTCAGATCAGAGTTTCTCAAAGTCATCATTCTTGCAAACATAGCCAGCATTTTTTTTCTTTTTCCTTTGCCTCTTATTTGGGCTAAGCTTTCAGCAACTTTTGAAGTGACACATTACCTGACTGATGAAATTTATGCAACCAACCACTCTTACTTGGTAAGTGAAGGAAAGCTTCTCCATAGCGTCTCAGTACTCTGCTCTATTTTAATCTTTGTGCATTTTAGAGAGAGCAGACCCCCTTCTTCCTATCTCCACCATAAGATGCCACTCAGTACCTCAAATGATGGACTCAGTGTGGTAAGAGGAGCAGGTAACAACAAGACTGTCTTAACAGAGACCCCATACTCCCTCAGAATTTACCATAGATCACTTAGGTCTATTTCAAAAATGATATTATTTCACTGTTAGATTTTTGTACTATATGCCTTCATGGGCAGGGCAGGGTTGTCAATAGGGTTTTAAATTGAAGAGAATCTTTAATTTTGACATTCTATCACTAGATGCTACTTATTATTTCTGAAATAATTCAACTTCCTAACAGTAAAATGAAGATATTACAGATGGTTTGTAGATAACCAGCTAGCTAGATAATAAATAGTTACATAGATAGATGATAAATACCTAAACAGATAACAGATACGTGATAAAGTAGACACATACATAGAGAGACATAGACAGATAATAGAGAGGTGATAGATAGATATTGGCATGACCCAGGTCATATTCCTATTGAATAAAAACCTGTGAAGCTTGATGAAGACTTCCGTTAGTCCTGAAATTTTGGCTGGTGACCCAAAGTGAAGAGGTACCTCTAAGACTTAACCAATGTTCATGCCGCTCACCTATGCACTTGCATAGTTGATTAAACTTTCAGCCACTTTTTATATTCAAAATAAGCCTGTGTACTAAAGCATACTCCTTTGGTTAGTGGTGCCCTCTTACACAAGTGTGCAACAGCAGAAATACAGCTAAACAAGCTTTGCAACAGCTAGAAGCTGGACAAAATTGAGTGACACTCCTCTCCATGAATCTACTGTTGCTCAGTTGCTTAGTTTTGTTCAACTCTTGTGACCTCATAAACTGCAGCATGTCAGGCCTCCCTGTACTTCACTATCTCCCAGAATTTGCTCAAACTCATGCCCATTGAGTCCATAATGCCATCCAACCATCTCATCCTCTGCCACCCCCTTCTCCTCCTGACCTCAATCTTTCCCAGCATCCCAGTCTTTTCCAATGAGTCAGTTCTTCACATCAGGTGGCCAAAGTATTGGAGCTACAGCTTCAGCATCAGTTTTTCCAATGAATATTCAGAGTTGATTTCCTTTAGGATGGACTGGTTTGATCTTGTTGCAGTCCAAGGGACTGTCAAGAATCTTCTTCAGCCCCACAGTTCAAAAGCAGCAATTCTTCAGCTTCTTTATGAGCCAGATCTCACATCTGTGCATGACTACTGGAAAAGCCATAGCTCTGACTATACAGACCTTTGTCAGCAAAGTGATGAGTATTCAAATACAAAATTCATTTATCAATGAGTGGAGTCAATTCCGATAGGACAGTTTTCCTGGACAAGATTTATTCCAAAAAACACATTTCTGGAAGTCTTTAATTAAGGATGAAAGAAATTTAATAAGAATTTCAGCAAAAGTACCATTTATAGTTGCAAGGTAATACTTTGCTAAGTTCCTGGGAGCAGAAATGGTTTGCAACAACTCTTTCTTTTTTTAAAAAATACACTTGATTTACCATGTTATGTTAGCCTCTGGAATAAAACAAAGTGATTCAGTTATATATATGCATTTAATATATATATATTTCATATTCATTTCCATTATTGTGAGTCCATGGACTGTAGCCCACCAGGCTTCTCCATCCATGGGATTCTCCAGGCAAGAGTACTGGAGTGGGTTGCCATTTCCTTCTCCAGGGGACCTTCCCCACCCAGGGATTGAACCCAGGTCTCTTGCATTGAAGGCAGATGCTTTACCCTCTGAGCCACCAGGGAAGTCCCATTGTTTATTACAGAATATTGAATACAGTTCCCTGCATTATACAGTAGGACTTTGTTGTTTATCTGTTTTATAACTAGTAATTTATATCTGCTAATCCCAAACTCCTAATTTATCCCTCCACAACCCCCTATCCCCTTTGGTAACCATAAGCTTTTTTTTTATGTCCATGAGTCTGTTTCTGCTTCATAAATAAATTCATTTGTGTCATATTTTATATTCTACATATAAGTGAGATTATATGATGTTTGTTTTTATCTGACTTAATTCACTTACTGTAATAATCTCTAGGTCCATCCATGTTACTGCAAGTTGGCATCCTTAATTATGACTGAGTAGTATTCCATTGTGTGTGTGCATATATATCTATATGCATTTTCTTTATCCATTCATTTGTCAATGGACAGGTAAGTCCATGTCTTAGCTGTTATAAATAGTGTAGCTATAAACATTGAGGTGCAGGTATCTTTTTGAATTAGAGGCTTCTCTGGTGTGCAATACAGTGAATTAGAGGTTTCTCTGGTGTGCTTTATTGACTATGCTAAAGCCTTTGACTGTGTGGATCACAACAAACTGTGGAAAATTCTTAAAGAGATGATAATACCAGACCACCTTACCTGCCTCCTGAGAAATCTGTATGCAGGTCAAGAAGCAACAGTTAGAACCAGACATGGAACAATGGACTGGTTCAAAATTGGAAAGGAGTATATCAAGGCTATATATTGTCACCCTGCTTATTCAGTTTATATGCAGATTATTTTTTTTTTTTTTACATTTGAGAAAGTAGTAAGGATTTTTATTGTCAAAACAAGTAAGAGATACAAGCATAACAGAAGACACAAATAAATTAATTCTGATCATTTGAGACTCCAGGGTGCCTCTGGGGGAAGGTCAGCTCAGCTCCTTGAGTAGACACAATAACGTCCAAAGCAAAAGACAGCAGGAATGGGAGACAGCGTTGAAGACAGTGGTTGTACATGTACACAGTGAAGAGAAGTGAAAAAGTGGCTTCCCCAGTTCCTTTCCTCAGTGAGGTACATGTTTACAAAGGTATGAGGCTCATTTGAGGGGAAAATGATTGCATACAGAAATATTTTAATTCTTCCACCTCCCAGGAAAAAAATTTTCAAGCCCTAGCCTGAACAAGAAAATCAAAATAGAGTGACACCAGTTTCATATGCACCTCAAGACTATATCCAAACCGCAGTTGCCACCTCTTTTTTTAAAAAGTTTAACGTCCATTTATCTATAGCAAGCCAGTAGACTGAATTTTCTCCTTAGGAAGTTTTCAACCAAATGGAAGTTAAATTAATCTCACTTTAAAGTGCAACAAAGGATATGTTAAGACTAGTGTTTGTTCTGTGAAACGCAGAAGAGAAGCACCCCTCCCGCAGCACGCGCCCCAGAGGTCCCAGAGGAAGGGCTGGCTGCGGGACTCAGGGGCCCGTGAGGTCCCCCAGAACGCGAGGAGGCTGGTGCCAGCACAGACGGGGGGTCCCTGCCGGGCTGGCTCCTAGCTGCACCCACAACTCCAGCGGGTCGAGGGTTCCCTAACAGCAGACCGGAGCACCCAGCGCCAGCACAGCCGCGAGGGCCGAAGCCGCCTGCACTCGTCCGCGGACGTCCCTACGCCGTGGTCTGTCCACGCGCATCCGGACAGTGCTGAAGGAATCCCGAAGCCTTGGTTTTGGAACATCGCAGACAGTCACCTAGTAAGCGGTGGCCCAAGTTCTAGGGAGGTCCCCATACATCACTGCTCAAGTTTAGTCTAAAGCTAGAGCAATACAAAAATGGCTTTTCCACACAAGGATAAGCTTTGCACGAATGTTTCGCAAAAACCAATTATGTCTCCACCTAGCCTCAGTTTGATTTTCACAAAGACAAAACTTTTCCTACGTCATAGCCACGGTAAAGGGAGCTGGGTGACACCCTCAATGCAGCGTCCCTGGGACAGAAAGCTCTAGAAGCCAGTGGGTGTGAGAACATTCAGGTCGCGGGGCTTGAGGCTGTGGGCCCGCGGCAGCTGTCTCGTCCCTTCCGTCGCTGGGATGTCCATCTTGGGCGGCTTGGACGCTGCTGGCTCCTCCGCCCTTCGGGCGGCTTGTGCGCGCATCACTTCCATTGGAGAAGGCTTCTGAGCTCCTCGGTAGGCTTGGATGGCAAAGCCTCCTGACTCAGACTTCTGGAGCGATCTTGGTCCAAAGAGGCTCCATTTATCGGTCGAGCTTCTGTCTTTATCCCCGCTTCCAGAATCCATGGTGCTAAGACTGGGGCCAAGGCTGTGGAAGAACCAGAAGTGAACCAGCCTCTGGTCTTCTGCTTAGGAGAGGCCTGGGGACTGCTGCTCGGGGTGGACTGCGTGGAGGCTGGCTGCCTCTCCTCTCTTGCTGTCTCTCCACTCTGGAGCTTTAGTTGGTGGAGTGCTTCTGCCACTCGAAGGTACTTGGTCTCCTCAGTGGTGAGGCCCTTGTGAGGGGTGTAGCCAGCATCTCGCAGCCCTGCCTGTTGCTCAAAACGCTGAATGTTCTCCTGGGTCTGTTTTGTGATCAAAGAGCTCATGATGACATGGGTAGCTTTGGCCTTCACCACAGGGGCCTTCTCACTGTCGCTGACCGACGGCGGGGCCGGGGCACGCGGGGAGACGCCGGGCTCTCCCTCCTCCACCTTGGCAAGGTGCTGATACTTGCGCTCTGGAATCACTGGCTTCCAGGGCATGCTGCCCATGTCCGATGGAGGAGGAGTCATGGGCGTAGGGTCCTCGAGGGCATCATCATAGCTGAATGCCCGGCGGTACATCCCGATGGGCAGGGACATCTTGCCTAGAGGCCCACTAGGCTCAAGAGCAGGCACTTCTGGTTGTTTTGAAGCCATTGAGACTGGGATCCAGGTGTTTTTCCTACACAGATTTTGAGCCGAGTCCCCGCCACCAGAGAGGTGATGTGACGATTATGCCGACAGACAGGTATCAATGAGGAACATTGTCCAGCTGCTGCAAATTAGCAAAACTGCTCAGGAAGAGTCCATCCATTCCAGAGGTTCTTTCCGTCCGCCGCGGCGGAGCTGCCTGCGGCCCAAGCTCCGGGACTAAAGAGGCTCCAAAGACCCATGTCTCTCGAAAGGTTGTTGTGCAGTCCGGATCCAAGCCATGGTGTGAGCGGCACTGTGCCTGAAGCGACACCTATATGCAGATTAAATCAGACGAAGTGCCAGGCTAGATGAAACACAAGCTAGAATCAAGATTGCCAGGAGAAATATAAATAACCTCAGACATACAGATGATACCACCCTTATGACAGAAAGCAAAGAGCTACTAAAGAACCTCTTGATGAAAGTAAAAGAGAAGAGTGAAAAAGATGGCTTAAAACTCAACGTTCAAAAAACTATGATCATGACATCCGGTCCCATCACTTGATCACAAATATATGGAGAAATAATGGAAACAGTGACAGACTTAATTTTCTTGGGCTCCAAAAACACTGAAGATGGTGATTTCAGCCATCAAATTAAAAGACGCTTGCTCCTTGGAAGAAAAGCTCTGACCAACCTAGACAGCATGTTAAAAAGTAGAGACATTTCCTTGTCAACAAAAGTGCATCTAGTCAAAGCTATGGTTTTTCCAGTAGTCATGTATGGATGTGAGAGTTGGACCATAAAGAAAGCTGAGTGCCGAAGAATTGATGCTTTTGAATTGTGGTGTTGGAGAAGACTCTTGAGAGTCCCTTGGACTGCAAGGAGATCAAACCAGTCAATCCTAAAGGAAATCAGCCCTGGATATTCATTGGAAATACTAAAGCTAAAGCTGAAACTCCAATTCTTTGCCCATCTGATGTGAAGAACTGACTCATTGGAAAAGACCCTGATGCTGGGAAGGATTGAAGGCAGGAGAAGGGGACAACAGAGAATGAGATGGTTGGATGGCATCATTGACTTGATGGACTTGAGTTTGAGCAAGCTCCAGGAATTAGTGATGGACATGGAAGCCTGGCATGCTGCAATCCATGGGGTCACAAACAGTTGGACACAACTGAGCAACTGAACCGAAATGGTATGCAACAGTGCTTCCCAGTGGCTCAGTGGGTAAAGAATCCACCTGCAATGCAGGAGACGCAAGAGACACAGGTTCCATCCCTGGGTCAGGAAGAATCCCTGAAGGAGGAAATGGCAGCCCAAGTCAGTATTCTTTCCTGGGCAATCCCATGGACAAAGAAGCCTGGAGGGCTACAGTCCCATGGGGTCGCAGAGTCAGAGACAACTGAAGCAACTCAGCACGCACAAACGCATGATCTGGGGTGCAACAGCTCTTACCAAATAAAGAGCATGCCCAAGTAACATGATAGCCATGAATCACTTTGTAATTCTGACTTGCTGTTTGTGTGGGAAACACAATTCAGCCAGAGCTAAAAGTAAAAAGGGGAGATAAAAGGAAAAGTGTTGAATACTGTTACAGATGATCTTCTCTCTAGATTTCTCCCTACAGGATGCATTCCTTCAGTATTTTATTCAGCATTTCTTATGAACAAATGTTGAACAGTTATTTAAAAAACACTAGTTTGGCTAAAGTCCCCTACATGCCCACTTGTCTCAGTCCATCCTTCAGCATTATCTGGTGACCTACCCATCCCAAGCAAGTCTACTGGTGTCAGAAACTATAACCAAATATGAGCTTGGGTACCAGAGCAGCAGAAAGCCAAACAGTGATAGTGGGTTTGTAGCAAAGTAATGGTTTATTGTAGGGCACAAAGCAGAGACTGGAAGATAAGCCTCAGAAAACTCCCACTTGGTCTTCGAGTTAGGTGGTCTTATTAACAGGGAAGAACAAAGAGTCTGTGACTAGTCATCATCTTATGACACTTCTGACATTTCTTAATCATGGTTTCAGATGTCGGGCTGTCTCTGGTTTATGATTCTCAGCCAGGTGGTCTGTGGCTTGAAGGTATGTTAGCTCCTATTGCCCTGGAGAAATAACCTGAGTTTGTACACTAATGATGATATGCCTCACAGCAAATTTAGTACATTAACAATGTTATCAATAACAGCAATTTTAGTCATCTTAATCTGGTTGATTAGAGCTCAGTTAGCACAGGATTGAGGCCAGAGAGAACAAGATAGAGAATAAAGTTTTGGAGAGAGAGGTTAATCATAAACTCAGTAAATGAACTGGTTTCGGTTTTAGGGGGATGTGCTTTCAAAGCTAACTATAGAGCAATTAACAACTTGTAGCAATTAATTGTGATTGAAGTGAAGTGAAAGTCACTCAGTCATGTCCAACTCTTTGTGACCCCATGGACTATACAGTCCATGGAATTCTCCAGGCCAGAATACTGGAATGGGTAGGCTTTGCCTTCTCCAGGGGATCTCCCCAACCCAGGGATGGAACCCAGGTCTCCCACATTGCAGGTGGATTCTTTACCAACCGAGCTACAAGGGAAGCCCAAGAATACTGAGGTGGGTAACCTATCCCTTCTCCAGCAGATCTTCCCAACCCAGGAATGAAACCAGGGTCTCCTTCATTGCAGGCTGATTCCTTACCAACTGAACTAACAGGAAAGCTCATTAATTATAATTAGATCTTCTTAACTCATCTACTCATCATACTACAAAAAAGTCCCTGATCTCCATTATAAATTAATCCCTCTAAACCTGAGAAGAAAGTTCCTCTCACCCTCTTCCCCAAAATAATAACTTTTTGAGTGCCGGGAGCATATTTTCTTTAGTTTTCTACACATTATGATACCTAGAATTGTGTTTTACAAAAATGAGTTTGCATTGAATAATTATTAAATATATACATATATATCTTATACACACACACACATACACACACACACATATATATATATGAGTCTCCTATAAGGCAGGAGACCCTGGTTCCATCCCTGGGTTAGGAAGATCCCCTGGAGAAAAGAATGGTTACCCACTCCACCAGTATTCTTGCCTGGAGAATTCCATGGACAGAGGAGCCTGGTGGGCTATAGTCAGTGGGGTCTCAAGGAGTTGGAAATCATTGAATGACTAACACTTTCACTTTCATATATATATATTTGCAGCTAGCCACCAGATCTACAAGTCTAACTTATGAATGTTGTATCTGTATCTCCTCCAACCTCTGGTTTTCTAAATATTTTGTCAAGGTGACTATTAAATTGACATTGTGTTCTCTGTGTTTCCTAAAACATAGTGAGAATGTACCTACTGTCTTTGCATTTTAAATAAATATTTATTACATATTACCATATGTTCTTCTCTTGTATTCCTAAGTAGTCAGAAAACCTAGCATATTATGAAAAATGACTCTAACATAATCCTTACTCAGCTTTTATCCAGTCAAATCTTATGTCTTCACTTGATTTCTATTTAGGAGGGTTTGCCCAGCTCAGAGTGGTTGTTCAAAAAGTATGCCATTATTCCTGAACGAATTGTTTTGACCAAATGTCTAGGAAAGTTTCCTCCAGCACTCTTCTCAAGTAAATATTTTTTATCCAAGACCCTTTAGATGCAAACATGTTTTTGTTTAAAAAAAAAAGTCTAGCTAGAGATTAGAATATGTTAGCTGGATAATAGCCAGGATAACGAGGTGCTAACTAGTCAAGAGTTCTTCAGAAACGCAAATGTTCTATTTGAAAGAAAAGACATGTCTAACCTGCCTTCATTACTTCTTCGAGGGAGGGGGGAAAAGTCAAAGATAAAAAGCGATAAAGATTAAAAAATGCCACCCTCAATATTACAAAAGTGGATATCAGAAGGCATGAGCTTCCATTACTGGATCAGCTTGGAAGTCAAATGTTGTAGGTAAAGAGTCCTCATTTACTGAATAATCAATTTATTCATTGAACAAACTATCATTTAAGAAACCTAGCATTTTGCTAGGTTCTGGACTGACAAAAATAATTACTATACTGTCTTTATTGTCAAAGGCTTTGAACTTCAGTAGTAAAAGACATAAAATAAATAATGTGTCAAAAATATTTTACATGTGATCATAGAAGTTATCTATACAGGATTCATTGAGAGCATCCTTTCAGCCTATCAGGTGGCAGTTTATCAACGAAAGCATAATGGAAGGAGTTGGGCTTATTCAAAGCTTGCCATTCTGATAAGGGAAGAGCATAGGTGAAAGTATAGTAAGGAGTGCAAAGACAGCAAATGAATTGCTAGGGTGGGAAGGACTGTACAGCGTGAGACTGGGACCAGCAGGGGTGAGCTTGGAAAGAAGAGTTTACTCATTCATTCAACAAAGACTGAATGCCTACCACATGTCCTGGGGAAATGTTTGTCCTCACTGACACAGTTTAGAAGTAAGAGAGATCGAGATAGATAAATCCTTGAAGGAGGAAATGGCAACCCTCTCCAGGATTCTTGTCTGGGAAATCCTATGGTCAGAGGAGCTTGGTGGGTTATAGTCCATGGGCTCACTAAAAGTCAGATATGAGTGAGCACACACACACACACACACACACAGACCCTGCTACTGGGAAAGACTGAAGGCAAAAGGAGAAGCAGGCAGCAGAGGATGAGATGGTTAAATAGCATCACCAACTCAAGGGACATGAATTTGAGCAAACTCCAGGAGAGAGTAGAGGACAGAGCAGTCTGACATGTTGCAGTTCATGGCATCCAAAGAGTCAGACATAACTCAACAACTGAACAACAACATAGATAAAGATATATAGCTGTAGATATGTAATTTTATAATTATATATTATTGTAATTGGGTTAAGCACATTATAAAAATATGCATGGTATATTATGAGTGTATCTCTTAAAGTCAGAGAAAGCTTCCTGGAGATCATTCAAAAAGCTTCTGAATGCAGAGT